AAAACTCGCTTCGAGGTGCACTGGCTCTTGTCTAGATGCACCTACTATGTACCAAATTTCATAGCCGTGGGTCTATTAGCTTACGCTCTGCGCGAACGAAAGACAAACACACACACAGACACTCTTTCTTTTATTATATGTAGAGATTAGGAATACATCTGCCAAGTAATTTCTGGAAATGTTATGAACGGTTCATAAATGAACTGCATTTAAGACATAATAAACATTTCATATACAAACTTTCGCATTTTCCTGATTAAAATACTATGACAGTATTTATTTATATATTTGTAGTTATTAGTTAAATTACGTTACATTAGTTTAATTATGTTACTCTTTTGAAGGGTATATTTTGTCATTGCTTAAGCCATGGGCAAATGTGATCACATTAAGTGGCACATACGTGTAGCATTCCTATGAGTTGAAGAGATGTAAAATGAAGTAAAAATTACCATTAATTTAGGAAAAGTTTTGATTGTTTGTTCTCAGTAAACTTATCAAATGTTGCTTAAAATCTAATATAACTGTGAAAAAGATTGATATGAAAATATATTCTTCATATTCATTGAAGTCACTTACGTATTGGATAGTTTCGCTTTCAGGAAGTGTAAAAATTTTAATATTATTAAGACTAAAAAAAAAAAAAAACTTTTTTAGCATTCTAGAAGGGTATTGTGTGTATAGTTAGGGTATATGCACGGGATGCGTTATTTTTTGTTTTTCATTTGCAGGTCTAGACTTCAGCACTAATTCCATGCTGCTATTGAATTTTGGACTAGCTATTGTAAGCTTGTTGTTGCCAAAGACTGAGTTAAGCGTTAGACGTGAGTAATATATATTGCAATACTGAGTTTTGATCTTATCTTGTATATTCTAAAATGATGTTTTTATATTTACTAGCCCTTTGTACTGTTACAGAACGTTCCGATTTAAATTTTACAGATTATCTTTTCGGTTGTGATTGAAAGTGAATAGTTTAATGCAATGAAAATATAAAAATCTAGGATAACTTAACCATGAAATTCATAATTAATTGAGCCTCAATGTCTCAAATCACATGGTATGTCAAATAAAAAATTATTCCCTGCATTTGCAGTTTTATATGGAAGTATTTCCATAGCTGTTTTGAAATTTTTGCTGCTGTGTAATTCTGGTTCCTATGTTTGAGCAGTGATTTGTAGCAAGCATTGAATTTCTCTTTTTTTCCAGAAATATCTAGCCCACAGTGGCCTGAGGGCTTTTCAGTTTAATCCTCTGGTGATGGAAGTGACACTTCATTCATTTTTGTGTGTTCTAAAGCTATCCAAACCATGTAACAGTGCTGCATATTGGAGAATTTTCCATGACTTTTAATTTTCAAAATGTTATGATGACCACTCTGAGAAGAGCTATAAAACAATAATTTGCGATCTCTGTTTTTTTTAATATTTTTCTTTTTATTTATTTATTATTTTTTTTATGGAAATCAACTTTTTTAGAATTTTGAAATTTCATTTAATGGAAATGGACACTTCATTTGCAGCATGCAAGACTTTAACAATTGCCAAAACTGTGGCAGGTAAACTGTTCATTATATGCTATGATGAAGCAAAGCTGTAGGAAAACTGTGAATAATAATAATAAAACAGATGAAGCCGTTTAGTTGTGTTTAAAAGTAAATAAATTGAGAAAGATGAAGTAATAATTTTAAGACAAATAAAAAAAAAACTTTATTGCTAACTTGCAATATTCATTGTAGCTTTATTAAAGTTAACTTTGATTACTAGGGTTAATCATTACATTTAATTCCTTCATTTATTGGCTAGAAAATTCCCCATCTTTGCAAAAACTAAATATTGTACAGTGTCGCCGAATGGGGAAAATCACTGAATCTGTAAATTTGACCACCGCTTAATTTATAAAAGTAGAATCGCCTGAACCCTATGAAAGGCCATCAGGAAAGAGGATTCTAAATAAATAATTAAAATAATGATTACAAATTAAAGTCATTAACGATTAAAATAACTACATAATTAACATTAAAATTCAATAAAATGTAACGAGATAAATAAAAAATTTGATAAATAACTCTCTTAAGGACAAATTGTTACATAATAAAATACTGGATCTCGTCTTATTTGGAACTCTGACTGGAATGGCAATGTCACTTAAAAATAAGAAATAATTCAGCCAGGCTGAGACTGAATTTAAACCCTGAATATGCAGTATAATGTACTATTTAAAGGGATAATACAAATAAAGATTATTTTTTCCAGCATACCAATAATAAAGAGAAAATGGTTAAAGTATTACTTACGAAAATATGGAGAATGCTGTAAACAATACACAGTGTAGACGAAATTTTAATGGAGAAGTATAAGTTTGAAAACAAGTAAGTGAATGATCTAGGTCGTATATTCTAGGTATAGTTCAACCGCATCAACCGGCCCATTAGCTCAACTAGCATCCGAATTCGGACCGACTTTCCAAAAAAGTGGAAGGATGGGACTTTCGTTCCCTCCAGCATAGCTCTCTCTTTCCGGGGAAGAGAAGACCTTTCACGTCGCAGCAAGTAATACCGCCCCTTTTGGACGAGTCTGTGTGTTTTGGCAGAATGCCAACTAGGGTTGCGCTATAGACGGTCGGACTATACTTTGGAGGTTAAACCTGGACTCATCGGTAAAGAAAATGCTCTCAATTGATCAGTTGCCCTGTGGACATGTTGATGGGCTCATCTCAAACATTCCCTTCTATGACGTTTCGGGTTGGTTGGCTCAGATGGCTGGTTGGTCACCTCACATACAGACCTCCTTCGTGAAGCCTTCTACACATTGTTGACATTGACACCAACTTTCCAGTGGCTGCGGAAAGGCACATTTAGCCATCTGGTGACTTTGTCCTGCCTCTATTCTCCCAGTAGCTCTCCATCGCATATCTACGGGCAAATGGTGCCTGAAGGTCATTGTTACAAATTGGTTTCTTGTTACAAATTGATTTCTTGTTACAAATTGATTCAGTATCACAGCAAAATTTGCAGGCTTGCTCTTAAACATGCAATTTTATGCTCCACGTAGATGACGTATTTCAGTGCCACTAATTTGCATAGAGCAGTTTTATTCAGCAATCCTTATTTGACAACATATTAAAATTTTATGTGGATTGGCTTTATTTTTGAACAGGTTATTGCTATTTCTGTGATTTTTCCTGAATTCTTGGAAACTAGTGTGTTTTGGTGACATTAAATGGCGAAGAAAACTATCTTTTAAAATAGCAATAGAATTTAACAAATTTAATAGAAATATAAGTAAAGTAATATAAATCTGCACTTCTGCAGTATTTTAATTAGGAAAATATGAAAGTTTACCTTTGAACTGTTCCTAATGTTTCTGGAAATTATTTTACCAATGTTGTACTCCTAATCTCAATACTCAGAGGCATTCTTCATCTCCACATGTGTAGGGAATTCACTGATTTCATCATTACATCATCTTCATATTCAGAAAGTTTTTTGCATGATGTGATTGGATTATTTCAGAAAGTGACTGGCAGATGTCTTCTTTCATCAATGTTGCAACTGGAATTTTTTTTATTGTTCTTTAAATTTCTCGCAATTAGGGGAGATGTTGTTTTCCTTCATCAACTTCCATTATTTCATGATTTATTAAAAAGGCTGGCATATTTAAAACAGTTGTTTGTTGTCTTTTCTGAGACACGATTCTCAGATAAGAACATTAAATGGAGTACATCAAAAGGTTAGTTTTCTTAGTTAATCCATTTGTACTTATATCCATATTGACCATGGTATAAAGGACACTAATATTCATCTCATAGCAATAATACTCTTTTGTTGTTCTAATACTTCATTAATCCCTTGGTAGATTTAGAGTTGTGTTATTTGCTAGTAAATACGTTTCCAGTATGCTTAAGACAGACATTTACATTATATGATGTATAATTGTCAATAAAAAGAAAGCTATTGATCTTTATTTCGTTATCCCTATCCCATTTCAAAAGAATGGCTGAAACTCATGATGCAGACTTATAGTCCAGAAAAAAGGCTGTCAGATCAAACATTTTAAAAAATTCTTTACTTTTAAATATTAATTATATGCCTTGAAATTGCTTTAAAAATGTGTAATAATCCTTTGTCTATATCAATAGTTCATTGGTAAGTTCATTACTCCTTTAAAGCATTGGGATTTTTTCTTTTCCAGTTATTAACTACTTTTATTTATACTACCACACATATTGATGTAATGGTATGCATAAAACTGTATATAATCCTGTAATCTTTTAGTTTTAAATAAATATGATTTTATGACAATTTTAGGTTACTACAGACCTGTTTCGTTTGTATTAAATTTGTTTTCGGGGATAGTATTTTATAGTTAGTAGCTGGTAAATAGTCATCTTTTTCTTCACTTTCAGTGCATTTGTAAATAGAGTTTTCTTCCATTGGCTAAACCTACCATTCCTTACTTTTAAATATTAATTATATGGCCCTGAAATTGCTGTATAAATGTGTGAACAGTCTCTGTATATATCAATAGTCCATTAGTAAGTTCATTACTCCTCTAAAACATTGGCATTTTTTCTTTACCAGTTATTAACTGCTTTTATTTGTACTACAGATATTGACGTAATGGTATATATAAAACAGTGCATAATCTTTTGAACTTTCAGTTTTAAATAAATATGTTTTGGGACAATGCTAGGTTACTACAGACCTTTTCCATTTGTGTTAACTTTTTTTTTAGGGGGGGATAGTATTTTATAGTTTATAGCTGGTAAACAGTGATCTTTATCTTCACTTTCAGTGCGTTTGTAAAGAGTTTTCTTCCATTGGCTAATGTTATAAAGTTAACTTTCGTCCTCTTAAGGTTAATTCTTCAGCAGAAATTTCAAGTTACTTCTGTAGCATTGTCACTTTTCTCACTATGCATTGGTTTCATGTTTTTGTTTTGATTAGCTGACAATATCTTTATGATGATTTAAAATCTTGTTTAAGAGGGATTGAGAAATATTTTAACTAAAGAACATCATTCTTTTGATTGACTTTTGGGAGCAGATTATAGCAGTATAACAAACTGACTTTATTCTTTAGACCTAGCATTTCTCAAAGTGCTCCACTTTTATAAGTTAGAACATTCTGCAAATCACTTTACTCTCGCCCCTTTAAAATAAATTTTTTATTATGTGTTACTACAAGTATGCTTATTTTTTTAAAATACAATTAAAATTCATTTAATTTTATATTGGTATTGGAAGTTAATAGAAATAATTAATCTAAGTTAATAGAAAAAAATTAGTACTTTATTTTAAACTCAAGGCTGTTATAATTTGGATAATCTTGATCATATTAGCTAAGAATTAAATAAATGTAAGTACTCACATTAATGAGATGCATCAGCCTGCCCCCGATTCTTGTATCCATGTTTTATGTTTGGATATATGCTGGAAGCATGACGTTGTGCTTTGAATCACTCTTTCATTTCTAAAACAGTGAGAAATTCATAGGTTGGGCACCAGTATTGAATTTTCAAAATTCTAGTCTTTGGGTGTGGGGAGGGGGAAGAAAAGTGGTAAATGATTTTCAAATTGTATAATTTTCAAAGGCATGAGATTTTCAGCTACATTAGAGTATTTGCAGTTAATTTGAATAGATCACACCTTTATCTATAGTTTTATAAGCACTTTTTTGTTAATCTAAATCCTCTTTAGAAACCATGTATTCATGTGAAATTTTTGTTTAGCTTGTGCTAAAAACCAGAATTTAGTGCTTCATTTTGCTTTTGCTTAAACTGAAACTTGTACGGACACCATTTGCTTGTCCTCTCTTTTGCTG